GCCACTGTCTACAATCCACTCATTTGAGTTTAAGCTGCTCGATTCTCTGGCTGTCATTATCATCGCTTTGCTATTGCAATTCGCCTTAATGTGACCTCTCTTTCCGCATGAGTAACATCGAATATTTTTGTGCCTGTGCTGCTCACCGCTCTCTTTTTCATGTTTGCCTTTCTTCTTATTCGCCCGCCTTGAATTCGCCGCAAACACGTGTTCATCACCATTTACTATTTTCTCTCCTCGACGTTGATGCTCTTCCAACACTTTGACCTTCAACTGATCCCAACTAGGCAGAATGTCTCTACTCTCCATCGCCACTATGAAGCTTTCATATTCGTCGGGGAGACTGCACAACAACAATAAACTTACAAAATCCTCTGGTAGTGAAACGTCAATTTCTCTTAATGATTCCACCATTGAGCTGAACTCATTTATTTGTTGTTGGTATCCAATCGAATCTTGAATTTTAAATCTAACCAACCTTTTGAACAAATTTACCTTCCTGGCGGGAGTTTTGCCAACATATGTGGAACTTAATTTGTTCCAAGCTTCCTTAGCATTTTTGCACGACTTCACGTGTATTAATTCCGACGGCTTTATACAAAGCGTGATTGTTGCTAGCGCCTTAGAATCAATCACTTTCCAAGCAGCCTTTTCCTCTGCGGTTGCTGTTATTGGACATGTCCCATCTATGACACTCCAATAGTCCAAAGTGATTAACAAGCTCTTCATATGGACCGACCAACTTGAATAGTTATCTCCACACAGCTTTTCTATTTGCGCCGAACTTGCCATAATTTTCAATTTCTAAACAATCCGCGAATTAATACTTCTTTTACTTCTTTCTTATGACTTTGAACTTTTATTCTTGAAGCAATAACACGTGGGCAGTGCCTGGGCCCATAACCTATGTTAGCAGTCAGATAGCTTCTTGAATAAAAGACAAGTTGTGTAATTGATAGAAAGTAATCTTTACTGAACAAAGGTTTAAAGAGAAGTAGTTAGGTTACAATGAGATGATAGTTATAAAACCTAACGGAATACAACTTTAGTAAACTAGTACTAAAAGTATGAAGTAGTAAATGGGTTGTGAAACAAAACAGGGTGAATCTTCAGATGTATTTTACAATTTTAAATTTTTTTAATTTTTTTTTATATTTTTAAAAAAAAATTAAAAATCTTAATATAAAAATTGGATTTTTTATATAAAAAACTTAATTTTAAAATAATTGAAATAATTAAAAATTGAATTGTTTTTCTATATAAGATTTTTTTGCAAAACATCAAAAACTTAAATGAAAATAATATAGATTATTTAAAAAATATATATAAAATAAATATATAATAAATTAAATATTTTATATATATAAAATATAAAATATTTAAAATATAAAAAATATATTCTTTAAATTAATTCTATATTAATTAATATTTTTTAAATTGAAAAAAAATTATATTCATTAAAAAATTTATTTATTTATCTATTTATTATTATTTTATTATTATTATTTTTTTTAAGAAATAAAAAAATATTTTCTATATTTTTTCCATTAGAAATTTAAATTTTTTTCAAATTTTCAAAATGAAATAAAATCCAATTACTTATTAAAAATAAATTAATTTTGTTTTAATTCAAATTCTAAAAAAAAAAATCCAATTTTTATATCTTTTTTTAATATAAGAATTTTCTATATTTTTCATTAGTTTAAAATGAAAATTCTACGTATTTTAATAAAAACAAATTAAAAATATATTCTATATTATTTTCATTAAACAGTTTATTTTTTTTCAAATGTTTAATTGAAATAAAATCCAATATTTTTGTAAATATTTTTATACAGGAAAAATTTTATATTCATTAAATATTTTATTTATTTATTTTTTATGAAAAAAAAATGGAGTATTTTATTATTATTATTTTTTTTTTCCATTCAAAATTTAAATTTTTTCAAAGTTTTAAATGAAATAGAATCCAATTATTTATTAAAAAAAAATATTTTGTTTTAATTCAAATTCTAAATGAATTCCAATTTTTTTTTAATTTAAAAGTTTCCTATTTTCTATATTTTTCATTAACTTTTTTATTTAAAATAAAAATTCTACGTTATTTTAATAAAAAAATGAAAGATGTATCTTATATTTTTTCCATTAAACATTTTATTTTTTTCAAGTTTTTAGTTAACATAAAATCCAATATTTTTGTAATTTTTTTTTAATTTATTTTTTTTTATTTTAAAAATGTACAATTTTTGTTTGTTTTTATTCAAATTTTTTTATTTATATTTTGTTCTAATAAAATTAATTTCATTTTTTATTTAAAAAAAATTAAATTTTTAGTTTTTTTTTAATTAAAAATTTTTGTTTTATATTTTACATTTTTTTTATATATTTTTTATAAAATATAAAATATTCTACATTGTTCATTAGTTTTCTTAATTTTTTTGAAATATATTCTATATTTTTTTCATTAAATATATTTATTTATTTTATTAATATTTTAATTTTTTTTTCATTAAAAATAAAAAAGGTTTTTAATAAGTTTTTTTTTTAATTAATTTTTCTTTTTTAAAAAAAAATCGAATTTTATTTTTTTAATTCAAAATTTTCTATTTATAATATTTATATTTTTTATTGTTTGAAATATTCTATTTTTGTCATTAATTTTTTTAAATAAAAAAAAAACATTCTGTAATATATTCATAAAATATTTTAGTTTATTTTTAAAATAATAATTAATTTTTTCATATGTTTTTTTTTTAATTAAAATTTTAGTTTTTTTTTTAATTTAAAGGTTTTTAAATATTCCATATTTTTAATTATTGTTTTTAAATGTTTTAGAAATATTCTACGACACTTTCATAATATATTTTAATTTATTTAAGAAAAAAATTAAAATATATTCTATATTTTTCCATTAAAAATTTGAAGTAAAATCCAATTCTTAAGAAAAAATTCATTTGTTTTCAAATTCAAGTTTTTCTATTTAAAAAATTCTAATTTTTAATTTTTAATTACATATTCTATTATTATTATTATTATTATTAGTATTATTATTATTATTATTATTATTATTATATTATTATATATTATTATTATTATTATTATTATTATTATTATTATTATATTATTATTATTATTATTATTATTATTATTATTATTATTATTATTATTATTATTATTATTATTATTATTATTATTATTATTATTATTATTATTATTATTATTATTATTATTATTATTATTATTATTATTATTATTATTATTATTATTATTTTTTATATATTTTTATATTTTGAAATATTCTATATTTTCATTACTTGTTTTTTAATTAAAAAAATATTCTAAGTTACCTTCATAAAATATTTTAATTTATTATAAAAAATATATTCTAATTTATTTTACATTAAAAACTTTATAATTTTTTTAAATTTTTAGTTAATTTTCATTTCATTAATTTGGTTTTAATTAAAAAAAATATTCAATATTATTTTCATAAAATATTTTCATATAATTTGAAGAAATTAAAAATATATGCTATATTTTTCCATTAAAAACCATATTTTTTAAACTTTTAATTGAAATAAGATCCAATTTAAAAAAATGTGTATAAATACATTTTTTTGATTAATATTTTCTATTTAAAACAATTTCCAACTTTTAGTTTTTTTTTTTAATTCAGAATTGTCTATTTATATAAATTTATATATATTTTTTATTTCTTTTAATATTCTATATTTTTACTTTTTTTATTTAAAAAAGAAATATTCTATAATGTTTTCATAAAGTATTTTAATTTATTTTGAAAAATGGTATGCATATATTTTATATTGTTCCATTGAATACTTTAATTTTTTTTTATAAATTTTTAGTTGAAATTGTGTGCATTTTTTTTTATATAAAAATTAATATAAAAATTAATTAAAATAAAAATTTTATTCTTTTTATATTCTACATTACTTTCATTTTTTTAAATACATTTTTTTATTATTTTCATAAAATATTTTAATTTATTTTTCAATAAATTAATAATAATTTTATATTTATTTTCCATTATAAATTTTAATTTACCCAAATTTTTAGTTGCAATAAAATCCAATATTCAAAAAAGATAAATTATTTTTTTTATTTTTAAAAATGTCAAATTATTAGGTTTTTTTAATTTAAAATTTCCGTATTATATTCTATATGTTTCTTAATATTCTATATATTTTTTTAATTTAAAAAAATCTTTATTATTATCATTAAATTTTATATTTTTTCCATTAAAAATTTTAATTTTTTTAAATGTTTACTTGAAATAAAATTAATTTTTTATTTAAAAAAAAAAAAATATTTTTAAATTAAAATTTTTCTAGTAAAAAATTTTAAATTTTATTTTCTTTTTACTCAAATTTTCTATATTTTAAAAAAATTCCAATTTTCCCTTCTGATAACTTTTAAAAAATCTTTAATTTAACTCCCAAAATTTCTCCGAGTGTCCTTTTAGTTCTTGGCAAACTTCTGGTCATTTATTGTTCTTTTAACTTGCAATTTATCTCGTTTCTTGTTTTGTTTAACTATTTGTTATTACTTCTACTTCTTCTGCTTCAACTCTCTGCCTCTCTCCCTCTCCATCTTCCACTTGAATTCCCACTGCTGGTCTGGTGTGCACAACTGCAATTTGTTTTGCTAATTATACTTAAATTACAAATAAAAGTGAGCAAGGGAGTTCGGGAGAGAGAGAGAGAAAGAGGAGAAATGTCCTGGCAGCCTGTGTCCGTTAGAGTGTGCAAAGTCAACAGCTTACAGCTGTTGCAATACCCACTGAGGTAAAGTTAAATTTTTTTTAATTATTATAAATATTTAAAGAAATTAATATTCAAATGGGTTGAGGAAGGATGTCTCAGGGGAGGCACAAAGGATAAACATTTTTTAAAAATCAGGGGATATAATAAATTTAATAATAATAATAATAATAATAATATTTACAATAAATATTTTTTTTTCAATTTTTTTCTTTGCAGGACCCCCGGTTGTAGCCGAATCAATAGTCGGCACCCATGCAAGACTGCCGTGCAACGTGACACCACCCTTACTGGAAGATCGAGTGGCCTTGGTGATATGGTACAAAGTTGGACTGAAGACACCCATTTACAGGTAAGAAAATTAGTACTAAATAGTACCATTTTAAAAATGTTGTACCATTTTAGAACTTTTTTATAACCTTAAATTTCGAATATCCATTGGTATATTTAACCTGACCTCCATCAGTGAATTTCAGAATTCTCGTTCGATAAAAATTATTAATTTTAGTACATTTTAGTGCTTTTCGTATCCTTTTAGTACGATTTTTCCAAAAACGCAAAATTTCTGAACTTTAGCTTCAGCTGTTTCGTCTGGGCGTTGATTTTCGGTCAGTCGGCCAGTTATTTCTATCAGCTCGTCTGCATAGACTCCGTGGCGGAATCAGGCACTGTTGGCCCACTTCTACAAATTCACTGGTTCTTAAAATCGTCTTTAGAGAATCCGCGGTTCAGTTCGTACATGAATTCTCCTTGCCGTCGAATGCTGGTCTGTCCAACCTCCATAGCCTTTATCTTGTGTATACAGACTTTTCGGGCCTTCAACTTGCCTTTGCTAACATCGAGGCCACTCTACTCATGTTTACAGTTTTAAGGTGGTCTATAAAATCACCTTAGCGTCGTCAACTCGCCTGTACCACCGATTCTCTGGACCCTTAGCTTATTTTCACATTCCCCGTGGTCCTTCAAATCGGTCCTTCAATGGCGGCGATGATCCCCAAGACAGGCTCTGTACACCTCGTTGATATTTTGTGGTCCGACTCAATAAACATGGATTTTAACTCTCCCCGACGCCGTTAATTCGTCGTACGGACTCTACGGACCCTCATATCGTTTGTGGTTATTCATATTCCTTGATCGGTTCTTCGCTCGGCAGAATAGATTCACCGGTCCCTTAACTTCTCCAAACGAGTTTCATGGTCCTTCAGCTGGCCTAAAAAGTCACCTTAGCGCCGTCAAATCCGTAGTCTTTCACGTCGACTATTAAATATCTTCGGCTCGTCATAAGTAGACTTTATGGCGCCGATGATCCACAGGACATACTCTGTACACCTCCTTGATATTTTGTGGTCCGAATCAATAAACATGGATTTTAAATCTCCCCGACGCCGTTAATTCGTCAGTACCGACTGCCTGGCCCTTTATATCGTAGTTCTTCATATTCCCTGATCGGTTCTTAACTCAGCTGTATAGACTCCCCGGTCCCTTATCTCCTACATATGAGCTTCATGGTCCTTCAGCTGGTCTAAAAAGTCACCTTAGAGCCGTCAACTCCGCGATCTTTCAATTCGACAGTTAAATATCTGCATCTCGTCATATGTAGACTTTATGGCGCCGATGAACCACAGGACATCCTCTGTACACCTCCTTGATATTTTGTGATCCGAATCAATAAACGTGGATTTTAAATCTCCCCGGCGCCGTTAATTCGTCAGTAACGACTGCCTGGCCCTTCATATCGTAGTTCTTCATATTCCTTGATCGGTTCTAAACTCGGCTGTATAGACTCCCCGGTCCCTTACCTCCTACATATGAGCTTCATGGTCCTTCAGCTGGTTTAAAAGTCACCTCTCAGCTCTCAGCTCAATTGTGTGGAGTTCGAAGCCCTTGCCGTGTTCTTTGCCCAGCTACGACAATTAGACGCCAGACCCTAATTTGGGAGCTCCTTTTCATTAATTTCCCTTTTAAATTTTCCGTAGACTTTCCATGTCCCCGTCCGCTCCGTATCGTACAGGCTCTGTTGTCTTTGACCTCCTCTTTAAAGATACCGTTTTGGACAGTCTGAAAATATTCCCTGGCCCTTGAGCTTTTCTCTGGAGTCATATTGACACTTTTGCTAGGCTGTACACTCTTCCTAGTCCTTCAGGATAGCTAGAAAGCCTCCGTAACGCAACGTCAGCTCGTTTTCGAAACTCTGTGGAGCTTGGGGCATTTTTTTTCAGAGAAATTTTGACACTTTAGCTAGTCTGTAGAGGCTCCTCCTCTTCATAGATACCGTTTTACCGGCAACCGGAGTAGATTCCTTGGCCTTTCAGCTTTTCGGTAAAGATATTCTTCCTCTTCAGCTAGTCTGTATGGACTCCCTGGTCCTTCAAGACGGCTGGAAAGCCTACTCCCCGTTGTTCAGACTCCCCGGTCCCTTAGCTCCTCTTTTTCTGACTCCATTAGCATTTGCTGTCCTCTATAGACTAACTGGCCTTTCAGGTACATCTTGCCTGTGTATACCCTGATTTCAGGGGCTGATTTTCATTTATTTTCCATTTTAACTTTTCCACAGATTTTCCATGTCCCCGTCCGCTCCGTATCGTACCGGCTCCATTGTCCTCCATTGACCTACTCATCAAAAATACCATTTTGGGCAGCCTGAACAAAATTCCCTGACCCCTGAGCTTTTCTCTGGAGTCATGTTGACACTTTAGCTAGGCTGTACAGACTTCCTAGTCCTTCAGGATAGCTAGAAAGCCTCCATAACGGCGTTTGCACGTTTTCGGAACTCTGTGGGCCTTGGGAATTTCTGCGGAGACATTTTGACACTTTAGCTAGTCTGTAGAGGCTCCTCCTCTTCAAAGATACCGTTTTCACCTCCTCTTCATAGATACCGTTTTGGACAACCGGAGTAGATTCCTTGGCCTTTCAGCTTTTCGGTGGAGATATTTTCACTCTTCAGGTAGTCTGTATAGACTCCTTGGTCCTTCAAGACGGCTGGAGCGGATCATCTGCCAACATTTATGAGCCTATAGCTCGTCTGTTCAGACTCCCCGGTCCCTTAGCTCCTCTTTTCTGACTCCATTAGCATTTGATGTCCTCTACAGACTAAATGGCGTTTCAGTTACATCTTGCCCCTGTGTGCACCCTTATTTCAGGGGCTGATTTTCATTCATTTTCCATTTTAATTTTTCCACAGATTTTCCATGTCCCCGTACGCTCCGTATCGTTCAGGCTTCGTTGTCTTTGACCTACTCTTCAAAAATACAATTTTGGGCAGCCTGAAGAAAAATCTCTGGCCCTTGAGCTTTTCTCTGGAGACATTTTGACACTTTTGCTATCCTGTACAGACTTCCCAGTCCTGTAGGATGGCTAGAAAGCCTCCGTAGCGGCGTTAGCTCGTTTTCGAAACTCTGTGGGGTTTGAGACATTTTTTTCAGAGACATTTTAACACTTTAGCTAGTCTGTAGAGGCTCCTCCTCTTCAAAGATACAATTTTTCACCTCCTCTTCATAGATACCGTTTTGGGCAAGCGGAGTAGATTCCTTGGCCTCTCAGCTTTTCGGTGGAGATATTTTCACTCTTCAGCTAGTCTGTATAGACTCTCTGGCCCTTCAGGACGGCTGGAAAGTCTACGTTTCTGCGTAGGCTCGTTTGCTAAACCCTGTGGGCCTTGGGCTTTTCTGTAGAGACATTCTGGCAAGTCTGTAAAGACTCCCTGGCCCTTCAGAACGGCTGGAAAGACTACATGTCGGAGTCAGCTCGTTTGCCGAAATCTGTGGGCCGATAGCTCATCTGTTCAGACTCCGTGGCATAAGCTAAATTTTTCAGACTCCATTAGCATTTGTCGTCCTCCACAGGCTAACTGGCCTTTAAGTTCCATCCTGCCTGCCATCCTTTGGCCTGTTGTGACAATTGGATGCCAAGTGTGTTTGGTGCCCTCATTTCGAGGGGCTCATTTTCATTCATTTTCCATTTTCATTTGTTTGAGGCCGACGCCGTTGACGCCACTCGGAGCTATCCTAGGGTGGGGTGCAGGGTCGGTCGGATAATGGCTTCATTGCATTGCTGTTGTTGGCTTTTCATTAATTTGTCACAGCAAGCAAATATAGCGTCCATGCGATAAAAATAAAAGAGGAAGACAAATGAAGAATGGCAACAGAGGAAAAAAGTGTCCCTCTTTACTCCTCCCCCCCCTCCCCTTTCCGAGTACTCGAAAAAAACGCACAGATAAAAATTCAGCGTCATTCTTTCTGTTTTACTCGCTAATGAGCTGCAAAACTATTTTTTTCGCCTTCGTCCTTTCATCCTCTCATTTACAAGGACAAAGTTTTTTTTGGATTTTCTCTTTGGTTTTTTTGTTTCTGTTGAGGTATTGTTGTTCGGGTCTGGTCAAAAAGTGGAGGAGAGGAATTAAGAAAAAAAAAAACGAACCCAAGCTGTGGAGCTGATGTAAGGAAGTTGCAGCCAAAAAAAAAGGAGGAAAAAAATCTCCTGCCTTCTTCAAAAGAAAACCAAAAGTAATGTTGATGACAAAACTGACGATAATGATGACACTTTGCTTGCTTTATTGGTCATGTGTGGGGGGAGAGGGGGTGGCTGTAAAGGACAAAAGGATGGCAAACAATGCTAGAGTCCTTTTTTCGATTTTTTTTTTTGGTGAATGAGGATCTTGAAAAACGGAAATGGAGGTTAAATTTAAGGCATCAATTTTAATGTAAAAACCATGCCAAAAGGAAATGGACTGGTGGATGAGCGGAAGAGGAAAAAGAGAGAGGGGTGGGGGGATATTGTTTGCCACAATGATGAATTACAATTGGATCAAATGTCCGTAACAAGAAAACGGCGAAAGCCAAGTAAAAGTTTTTCTTTTCGCCTCTTCCTCTTTTGCTCTTCCCCCCGAAAACCTCTTCAGAGAGAGAGAGAGAGAGAGAGAGAGAGAGAGAGCTGCCATTAAATGTGGCGGTTTTTCTATTTGCATTGTCTTCTGCCATCACTCCCCTGCTCCTTTTCCTCCTCCTCCTTTCCTTTCCTACTTATGCAAACGGTTTGTAATCTTTGGCCATTACCGCTTCAACAGGATTCCTGCCATGGCAAACATGAACTCATTATGGTGGAAAACAAAAAACAAAAACAACAAAAAAATATCCTTTTGTGTCATTATTCCAATTGAGGATTCGAGGAATTGTTTTTGTTGTTGCTCTGGATATTTGTTTTATTGTCCGACAATTGTTTTAATTTCAGCCATTCTCATTTCGCAACATTTCTTTTGATTTTCTGTATTTTTTTTCCTCCCCTCCTCCTCCTCTTCTTCCAATGTCTCATCATTTTTTTGTTTGTCTTTTTCTCTCTCCCTCTCTTGCAGTGTTGATACCCGAGAATCGAACTTTTCCCATGGCACCCATTGGTCGGACGAGGCATATCGAGAACGTTTATCCTTTGCCCTGGATGGCCGCACCGGCACGCTGACCATGACGAATGCCCAACAGGAGGATACGGGCGAATATCGATGTCGTGTCGATTTTCAAAAGAGCCCAACACGTAATTCCAAAGTTAATTTGACCGTCATAAGTAAGTATTGAGAGGGAATATTTCGTTGTTGTTGTTGTTGTTGTTATTGCATGAGAAAAAATATATAAAAACAAAAGGGATTCATTAACACAAAGCATACTTGCTGCAATTTATTTTGTTTGCCTGTCTCAATGCTATCGCATTTCGAATGCGGCCTAAGGAAAATCAAAAAAGAAAATAAAAAAAATATGAAAAAAATTAAGATATTTATTTCAGTACAAAAATTTGGATTTAAAACCAGTTCCGAAAAAAATATAGCAGTTGGAAATCAATTTTTAGGTTTTTCGAAATTTGGGTTTTTTTAAAAAAATCGATTGTTTTGTCTATAAATGTTACTCAATCAGCCGAAAATCGATCGACTTTAAGATTTCTGAAATTTGAGTTTTTTAAAAAAAAATTTGAGTTTTTTAAAATTGATTTAAAAAAAATTTCTTTGCAGCCCAAAGTTGACAAAATTCGATTTTATTTTTCAACCTTAAGTCGAATAGAAATTACATTTCGATTGTAGAAATTTTTGATGAACGATTTTACCAACAGATCGACTTTAAATCGAATTTCCATATTTGCTGCTGTTTTTTTTTTTTTTTTTTTTTTTTTTTGATCAAAGTTTTATTTCAATGCAGAATTTAGAATTTCAGAATATGTTCCAGTTCCAAAAAATATAGGTCCTGAAAATCGACTTTCGGGATTTTTGACTTATGTCTTCTACAAAAAAGCCGAAAATTCCGTCCATCAACTACAGCTAAAAATTGATTTTTAATTTGTACACGAATCCAAAGGCGACTAAATTCGATTTTTTCGAGTTTTTTTCCAACCTGAATTCCTGTGAAAACTTAATTTTTGATGAGCGGATTTACCAACAGATAAATGAATCAATCGATCGATTTAAAATTGACCCTGCTTTCAGGCTAAAAAAGCCATAAATTGACCATTTTTTTTTTTCTTAAATTTTGTAGGGTATGGTTTTTAGAATCTAAAAAAGTCAACTTCGATTTGAAAATTTGATACTGAGTTATATAGCCTTGAAATCGAAATATTCGGAGGGCAGAATAGGCCGGTGATAGCCGACGTTGGCTATGCAATGACTTTGGGTGAAATCTGTGTATTAGAGTATTTTTTTTTTTTTTCCTAAAAATCTAGCTTAGGTCTTCTGCACGTCTTTGAAGAAAAATTATTTTTTGTTTATTATACAGTCCACAACATATCTTTCAAGAATTGACAAGTTAAAAATCAGTAAGTTCGGCCGGGCCGAACTTTGAATACCCTCCACCATTGGAACGAATTTGGAAATTTTCAAAAAATAAAGTCCTTAAACACGACGTGGACCTACATAGGCCTTTTTTGTCATAAGCTATTACCATATTCAAATTCGAAACTTGAAATAAACGGTGAATAATGTAGTTTAAATCATCAAAATATAGTATATAGGGAGGTACAGTTATATCGGAGCTGTGCGAACACCTAGACCATTTGAAACAATTCCGGTGAATAGTTTCGCTAAAATCATCAAAATACCGAATATCGGGAGGTACCGTTGTATGGAGGCTATACGAAGACGTGGATCTGTACAGATAATTTTCTGTCTTAGTCTGTAGTATCCATTTCGAACTTGAAATACCAAAGTTGAAACAATTTAGGTGAATAATGTCGCTAAAATCATCAAAATACCGAATATCGGGAGGTACTTATATATGGGGGCTATATGAAAACGTGGACCTACATGGCCCATTTACGGACCTAACCTGCCTACTAGAAAAATAAGCACGTGTGCAAAATTTTAGCCTTCTATCTATCTCAACAGACAGACAGACGGACAAATGACAAAGTTAATATACCCTCCATAGTATGGTGGAGGGTATAAAAAAAATTATTTAGTCCTTAAAAAAATATCCATAAAAATCTATTTTTTATAGCTTGCAGGTCCCTCAGGAATTTTTCCAAAAAAAAAAAACCACATTTGATCCTTGGAAAAATTTATTTCATCCTAAATTCATTGGAAATAAATGACAAAACCTCAAAAAAACTATTCCGTAAAAAATCAATTTTAGAAATTCCAGACATTTGGTTTGTTAGAAAAACTAATTTTTAAAAAATCTTGGTAAAAGTAATTTTTAAAGAATCCACGACATCTAAAATTTGGAAAATAGTTTTTTTTTTGGAAAAAATTTTTTAATAATTCACGCCTTTGGTAATTTGAAAAAAATAATTTTTTAAAAACCCACGCGTTAAATATTTTGGATAAAATATTTTGTATTAATCCACGCCTTAAGAAATTTGGAAAAATAATTTTTAAAAATATCCACGCCTTAAGAAATTGTGAAAATTTTATTTTTTAAAAAATCCACGCCTTTAGAAATTTGGAAAAATAATTTTTAAAAAGATCCACGCCTTAAGAAATTCGGAAAATTTTATTTTTAAAAAAAGTCCACGCCTTAAGAAATTTGGAAAATTTTATTTTTAAAAAGATCCACGCCTTAAGAAATTTGGAAAAAAAAAATATTTTTTTAAAAATCCACGCCTTAAGAAATTTGGAAAAAATTATTTTTTAAAAAAATCCACGCCTTAAAAAATTTGGAAAAAAATAATTTTAAAAAATCCACGCCTTAAAAATTTGGAAAATTTTATTTTTAAAAAATCCACGCCTTAAGAAATTTGTAAAAAAATTATATTTAAAAAATCCATGCCTTAAGAAATTTGGAAAAAATTATTTTTAAAAAAACCATGCTTTAAGAAATTTGAAAAAATTAATTTTTAAAAAAATCTACGCCTTCAGAAATTTGGATAAATTAATTTTTAAAAAAAAATTCACGCCTTAAGAAATTTGGAAAAATATATTTTTTAAAAAAAATGCACGCCTTAAGAAATTTAGAAAAAATTATTTTTTAAAAAATCCACGCCTTAGGAAATTTAGAAAAAATTATTTTTTAAAAAATCCACGCCTTAAGAAATTTGGAAAAAAATATTTTTTAAAAAATCCACGCCTTAAGAATTTTAGAAAAAATTATTTTTTAAAAAATCCACGCCTTAAGAAATTTGGATAAATTAATTTTTAAAAAATCCACGCCTTAGGAAATTTAGAAAAAATTATTTTTTAAAAAATCCACGCCTTAAGAAATTTGGAAAAAAATATTTTTTAAAAAATCCACGCCTTAAGAATTTTAGAAAAAATTATTTTTTAAAAAATCCACGCCTTAAGAAATTTGGATAAATTAATTTTTAAAAAATCCACGCCTTAAGAAATTTGGAAAAATATATTTTTTTAAAAAAAATCCACGCCTTAAGAAATTTGGAAAAATATATTTAAAAAAAATCCACGCTTTAGGTGACTTTGGAAAAAATATTTTTTTAAATACCAGAGTTAGATAACTTGGAAATATACAAAGTTTTTATATTTACGCCTTATGTAACTTGAAAAAAATATTTTATTAACATTAAAATGGGGAAATACTTCCTTAAATTCACGTTCCATGAAGAGCTGGACTTTGAAAAAATACTCTATCAAAATTAGCTGCTTTACTGCTCAACATACTTCTTCGATTAGCTTATGACCTTGAAATAAAGAAACCGCCATAAGTTCGAAAACCATCATGAAGAGGATATCTTAGAGCTCGTTTTATATATAAAATTAACCTTAAGGGACCTATTTCTATAGATACATAGAATGTCTGCAATTTCTCAGATCTTAAGGTGGTTCAAAATATCCGTAATTCTCATACCCCTCATAATCTTCTATTTTTTGTTTAAATCTTATTTACTTTGAAAATCCCCAAATTTTGCTCAACTTGAAACGAATTTTCTAGATTGGAATGCTCAACACCTCCTACAGACAATTATTGAACGAGAAAGGCTTAAAGCATAAAATTGAAGTTATTTTTTCTACAACTTTTCCAAATAAATGTTAAATAAATTGAATTGCATATAAAGTAGATGGAAGAAATATTAAAACAGAGTTGTTGTTTTTTTTTTTTTTTGCAACAAATGTTAAAGGATTTCACCAAAAAAAAGCCCTTCAAAAGTAGAACACTTACACACATAGTGGTATATAAAAAACATACATATCTTTCCAATGTTATATGGCTATGGAAAAAAGATTCTCCCACACAATTCTATAAAAAGCTTACACACACACACATCCAAGTTCCCTCTATTTTTTTTTTTTTTTTTTTCTTAAGCAAAAGTTTAACCATAGTTTGGGGAGTAGTCGAAGTTTTGAAGTTTCCTTTTCATTTCTTGGGGTTTTCTGCTTCAACGCACCCACACACACACATTTACTCACCAAGTTTTAAAGCCAAGTTTGCAACACCATGCAACATGGCATAGTATTAAAAAAAGTAGGAAAGTTTGAAACATCGCAAGAAATACGCCAAGTATTGAAAATGTTGGAGAGAGAGAGAGAGAGAGAGAGAGAGAGAGAGAGAGAGAGAGAGAGAAAAAAAAACGATTTCTAACTTGAAAATCTCAATGTCTAGGGTAAAATAGGATCTTAAATAAAGATTTTATGCTATTAGAAAGTTTGTTGTTCATTTCTTTTCATCCTAGTTTAGGTTTGGTTAGTTGTTGCTGTTGCTCTGGGTATTGGAAATTGTGTTAGAATTGCAAAGTTTTGCATTTGCTTCGTTTGGAGGGAGGGAGTACTTTTTTAGGAATGAAACATAAAATCCCAATGTCGTATATTTTTTCGCAGCTTTAAGGTAATGTAAATTACGAGCGTTGTTTTCAGATGTGCTGGAGAGGGGGAAATAAGAACGAGGGGATGAAAAGGAAAACAGGTGTTTCAAGGGAAAAAAAAACAAGGAATTATGGCATTAATTTTTATACCCTACACCACAAAGTGGTCAGGGTATTATGTCTTTGTGCATTTGTTTGTAACAGGCAGAAGGAAAAGAGATAGACCCATAGTTCCTTTTGATGATCTGCATAGAATCACATTCTGAGTCGATTTATGCATGTCCGCCCGTCCGTCTGTCCATGCATTTTTGTAAACAAAGTACAGATGAAAT